ATTTAATAAAATTCATTCGACTAACATAAATTAGTTAGTTCTAAACGTCAAACTGACATTAAAATTTTTATCTAGATTGTGAGAATACATTACTTATTTTCCATAACAATATTTTTCCTTAAACATTATCTGATACCGAAGAGGTATACAAGTAAGATATGCTGACAAAAACAATACAAGTAGGATATATTTTCAACTAATAATGTTACTTCTTTATGAGAAACCCAAATTACATTGTAAATAATATCTTTCAATGCGAATTGAATTAGGTAATTAACCCAATATCAAATATTACAAAGTCCTGGTATCTGGACCAACTCAACGCTAGTTATAACACTTTTTTTGACACAACTTCTTTATAACACCTCTATCTCTTTCCTCTTAGCTCTCTCGCTTTGTGGATTTTTCTTTGTGCATATAAATAAATATATGCACACACACATAGGAAAATATGATGGGTTACGAGCAGATGAATCAGATAACAGTGACAACTGCGATGATGAAGAATTTCAACAATCAGATGGGACCAATCAGATCACATAAGAAAACGACGAGGAGAACTGTAGCGACCATTAATGGTGGTGCGGCAGTGACAGCTGCGACGGCTGGAGAAGGAGATAGCCGACTGAATCTCACCGGCATGTCCTTGGCTTCTCTCTCAGCATCTTCTATCGACCTAGCTTCCATCTCTAAACTCGATCTCTCCAACAACAATATTCAGGTATATATATATATATGTTAGATCATATATCTAATTTTCATCAACCGTAATCACAGCTTTCGACTAAAATTTGTGGAAATGTTTTTATATTTAAATTGACATTTTCAGTATTGAAAAAATAAATACAGCATAATATAAATTAATACATATACTATCCTATTAAATTATACTGATTTTAAATTATATCGGTTTATAATATAACACAGTTTAATAAGATAATAATTGTAAAAAAGTTATATAAATATATAATTTTATGAATTGTATGAATAAACAATTTAGTATGAATAATTGAAAAAATCATTTTATGAATTATTAATATAAATTTTACAAATAGTTATAATTTTGCAGAAAATATATTGTATAATATATATACTTAAAAGAAGAAATTATAAACTAATACAATATTATAGACAAAAACAAATAGTCTTGGTCGAAGGTTTGATAGTTATTTTTGTTAGGTCCTTTGTGCTCTTGTTAAATCATTTAATTTAAACTAATAGAGTCTAACTAAACTATGAAAGATCTTTGTTAAGTTGCTAAATTCTAACTAACAAATAGTTAAATGATAGATTGTAGAGAATGAAGCAAGGAAACTCCCTCCTGCATATGCATGATTCTTTGCATTTCTTATTTTATGGTTTTTGTCATTTCCTGTTTTACTTCGGGAAGAAAAAATAGTTAAAATCTTTTTCCAAAAAAAAAAAGAAGTTAAAATCATCTCTGGCATCTTGCATACAACTCTTTTTTTTTTTTTGTTAAAGGGTTTTCATTAATAAATTAACCGATTACAGAAATTAAAGCTAAGCACCATTACAATAACATAAGAAAAGAAAAGAGGGAAAGATCAGAAGAAGCTGATAGAGAAGAGAGCCAGGGAACCCCGTTTTTCTTGTGGTCAACTGGAACCTTATAAATCAGTTGAACCACAAGGGTCCGTCATTTCTTTTTGAAGTTTTCGTTAGAATTGTTGTATATAGTTGAAATGTTAATAATGAATAGCATTAGTTATTCATAAATATGAGTTGGTCGTTGTCAAAAGAAAAATATGAGTTGGTCTTAACATTTAATTCTCTCTCTGACACTGTTGTATTGAATCGGTCCTGGAAATAAACAACCATTATCAAAAGATATCGAAGGTGACTGATTCATGTGTAACATTTTTATTTTTTATTTTTATCTGTAATTATAAAATCATCTTATACTCCGTACTTTTTGGAATTGGAATTCGTCAACTTCTAATGAAGTTTTGACATATCTCATAACACTGCATTTGAATGCTTGATTTATGTATTTAATTTGTTTTTTTTTAAATCTTTTGTATGTGTGTCATGGTATGTTTTTAAGAGTTTGGTTGACATACTTCTTATGAGATATTGTTAGATATATTCCATATCTGATGCACTTTTTTAGTTATTTGAATTACGGTTATGATTTATGGTGTTAACAACATAATACATAATAGTTCAGAAATATTATCATGTGTAGCCATGTAATGGTGTATCTTTCGTATAGTTAGTAATCATTTCTTCAAAATATTATTGTCCTTATGTTCCTAAAAATCAATGTCATTGTATTTCATATATACTAAAAAGACATATTAAAATTTAAGTTTCAATGACTTTTTTAGAATGAGCTATCCCCCATAATTCTAAACCATTATTATTTCAAAAGTACATTTTAATTTTACACTTCACCATTATTAACTAATAAAAACTTCAAACATACATCTTTCTAAAACATACTTTCATTTTTATAAACATTGATCTTTTCCACATAGAGGGAGTATAATAAGTAAGCTGTAGAAAAATATTATTGTAAGAATATCTTTCTTTTTCATTTGATTTTAAAAGTTTCTCAAATACAACTACCTCAAAAAAAAAAAAAAATTACATCCCAACCAATCATCCACAATTGTCTAAAGCTGTAGAAATTTCTGTTATCTATAAATATTGTCTTGAGGCATTTGGTTTATATACGTATAAATATTTGAATTTACTCACATATTTAGGTTCTCATCATGCAGCAAATTCCGGAATCTCTTGTGGCAAGAATGCTAAATTTGTGGGAATTAGATTTGCACTCCAACCAGCTCAAAACACTTCCCAACTCCATTGGATGTCTTTCCAAGCTTAAGGTTCTTAATGTCTCGGGAAATAATCTACAATGTCTCCCGGAAACTATCAAAGATTGCAAGTAAGACCCCCTTCAACCTCCTCCAGTACTCTAATTATCAATGTACCAAAATTCAAAACGCGACATAAAACGCGTGCAGATCGCTGGAAGAGCTGAACGCCAACTTCAACGAACTGACCAGTCTTCCAGAGACTATAGGGTTCGAGCTAACGAATCTGACGAAGCTCTCAGTGAACTCAAACAAGCTTGTCTTGTTACCAAGCTCCCTCAGCCACTTGACGTCGCTGCGTGTGCTCGACGCCAGACTTAACTGCCTTGTAATGCTTCCTGATGATCTAGAGAACCTCGTGAACCTTCAAGTCCTTAACGTTAGCCAGAACTTCCATCACTTGAAGGCGTTACCTTACTCCGTTGGGTTGCTGATGTCTCTCGTGGAGCTTGACGTTAGTTATAACGGAATTATGGTTTTGCCTGACTCCATCGGATGCCTTCGCCGGGTTCAGAAGCTCTCCATCGAGGGCAATCCCCTCGTCTCCCCACCTTTGGAAGTGGTATGCACCAATTTACCTTACTTAACTATATTAATATAAATTATTATTTTCTTGTGGACAACAAAGTATAAACAACCACTATGCCACATGTTATAGTGCAACAACATTGAAATTAAATAAAACGCATTTCAAGAGAATTACTACAGTGCATAAATTATTTCACAAGCATTGTGTTGTAGTGATCAACGCAAGTATATAATATTTATTTGAAAATATTATCTTTTTTGATAAAATTGAAAATATTATCTCCTTTTTATGTATGATACTTATTATATATTAGAGTTGGGCAAAAAACCCGGATCCGAAGAACTGAACCAAACCCGATATGAAAAAGTAGTATCGAACCAGAACTGAAGTTTGATTAAATATCCGAATGGGTTCAAAATTTTGGTATTATAAAATCGAAACCGAACCCGACCCGAACCAAAGTATCTCGGGTACCCGAATATATCAGAAAGAAATTTATATACCTATATATATATATTAATTATTTTAGATTTAAAATAAAAAATATTCAATATATATAAAATACTTTGAAGTTGTTCAAATACTTGTAAATATATGTAAATAGTCTAACATACATGTATAAAATTGCTAAAGTACACTCAAAACATCAAAAATACTTAAAAAATTATTGATTCACAATCCAAATATTCAAATCAAATCAATTCATATACTAATTTTAGGTATTTTAACTTATGTTTTTCAATTTTAAAATTTTAAAAAATAATTTAAATGAGTTATCTGAATCTGAGCCGAACCCGAAAAGATCCGAACCGAACCGAAATTAAGAAATATCCAAATGGGGCTAAAATTTGTGAACCCGAAAACTCGAAATCCGAAACCCAAATATATCCGAAGCGAACCCGAAGAGATTTCCGAATGGATATCCGAACGCCCACCACTATATACAGTATATGGTAACGCTAATTAAGATCATCCTTGTATCACACAAGAAACTTGAGTCAACAAAAAGAAAATCTTACATTATACTTATTATAAAGCTTGTGATATAGTTTACGTTTGATGATTTGTGACAACAGGTGGAACAGGGTGTAGAAGCAGTGAAGCAGTACATGAGCGAGAAGATGACCGAGTCTTATAAAAAAACTCCAATGAAGAAAAAGTTGCGGGGCGCCATTGGTACGGTGGTCAAGTTCAGAACCTTTCACGGCCTGAGATCATCTTCGGGGAGGATAACCGGCGATAGGGTGGGAGGCTTCATCAACGTCTCCGATTACCGTCAAATCAACGGAATCGCTTCCCCGAGACATGTGTCCCACTTCAACCCACTACGTCTCTTGTCTCCAGTCTCCTCTTATTTCTCTCCTCCAAGGCATTAGCTAGGGTTACTTCTATATATATATATATATATATCTTTTTGTTTTCACCAAACCGTCTTAACATTATGCAGGCAACGTTGTTTCGTTGCATGAATGTTTGTTTGCTTTTCGCATATAGCGTTCTTTTCTCTATATGATTGACTTTTGAGTGGGTTTTTCGCTGTGTTTTAGTTCAATGTTGTTAAACACGTTTGTAAATCCTGAGATAATGTAAAATTGCATTTTGAAAATTTCAGTCGTGCTATTCGGTATCATCAACCTTGGTCCGAGACTGTTTGAGAAAACAAATAAAGCGAAGAATAGATAACTAATTCAAAAGTTTTCTATCTAGGTTAAGGGAAAAATCTATGTTGTGTAAATGCAAAAATACAAATTACATACTTGGACGGATTCCCAAAGTACTTGACAAGTGAGTAGACACTTATTCATTACATAACACAGAAAGTCTTAAGGACATAACTCGAACCCAAAGGAGACTGAGAAAACATAAACAAGAAACATAATGTTACATCTGAAAATGTTTAAATCTTTGTGCACAGTAAAAATCTAACATTCTTTGGGCCGGAGTCCGATGTAGAATTGTAGATTGTTCTTCTATACACACATCGTAGATTGTGAGAAGCAACTTTACACTCTCTAAGTTCATTCTCTATAATCCTTTGAAAATGATGGGACGGACCATTATACATATATATATATATATATATATATATCAAGATTATGCTGTATACGCAAGAAGAAGCCTTTAAAACTACCTGAAAACAACAATCACCAGTAGCAAGAGGGAGAATCCCATCGCCTGCATGCAACATCACAAAAATTCATCATCATCATTTCGTTGGAAATCTCAGATTGTCAGAGAGAGGGAGAGAGAGTCATTACAGTGATTGCAGAAGCAGAAAGTCCAGCTCTTTCTCTAGGTTCCTTGCTGTAGTAATTCCCGAAGTAAAGAAACATTGCATAGTACCACAAGAAAGGGAACACAAAACCCATGAGAAATCTAACAAACGGGGATTTAGCAGGTAAGTAATGTATAGAGTGAAGCTCTATATATGGACTAAACTCGAAAACAAAAAATGAGAACTCAACTCACGAGAACCATCCAATTCCGCAACCAAAGCATGGAAGAGGTTTGTCATAAGCTCCATTTTCAACATCGTCCACGTCTTTTACAAGCCATAGCATCTATTCATACAAAGGCCCATTGTCTCTTAGTTCAATACAATATATGTCTACAGCTACATCTTGAAAGAGTTTGTGGTGAATAAGTGATTGGTACCTCTAATAGCAGAGTAATATCTAGGAGCTGGTCTCATGAGACTAGCATGCTTATTATCACCCATGGATTTCACCAGCTCTGCACTTCCATCTCCACGCTCTTTAACATCTAACAAAGCGGTCAACAGGTCCGTCTCAAGTACCCGCTCTTTAACATCTAACAAAGCGGTCAACAGGTCCGTCTCAAGTATTATATAGGCCCCGCTATGGTCCTGAGCAAGAACACATTGTATTATGGTCCTGCTATTGAAGAACACATTGTATATATCAATAGCACATTGTATATATCAGTAAAATTGTTATATAAAAATAAAAAATGTTGTTATCTTATAGCCTATGAACGGTGTAAATATACATTATTCTGTTAAAATATAATATAAGTATTATTTATATGATTGCTTAAGAATAAAATAGGTATTATCCCCAAGAACAGAAATTTACTTCTTTTTTTTTTTTTTAAAAAGGAAGAATAAAACAGGTTTTGACAACTAAAATATTTAGGCCTCTTTAGCTGAAAAAAAACTAAGTATGATCGAATAGTCTATACTATTATTTGCGAAGTGATTTTTCGCAACGAAGCTCTCACGTTAAAAGTTGGAGTGGTTAATATCTATAATACCCTTAATGAAGAAAAATATATAATTTAGACAAAAATAAAAACAAATTTAATATTTACATAAATGATTTAAATTGAGAATAATGATATGAATTATCCATAATCTAATTATATTTTTAAAAATAAAAAAGAAGATAATTCTTATATATATTGTGTTGTTATCCGAAAACTATATTTTTAATAAAAAAATTCAAAAAAGAAAGCACATAAATAAATATTCATAAAATAATTTTTAATTGTATATAATTCAAAAGAGAAAATTGAAAAAATTATAATACGTAATTATTTTCAAATTAAAATAATATAATAATATAATATAATGATATATATATTTGTGAAGTTATTTTTCGTCTCTGAACTCACACATTAAATTAAATTAATATTTATATTTTATATATTTAAACCTTAAACATGAATTAATCATATAAAATAAAAAAATCATTCAAAAAGAAAGAAAATACGTGTTTGACAAACATAAATTCAAATATATTGTATTATTATCCAAACTAATATTATTCTTTCTGTAAGATCAATTTTTGAATGTATATTTATCGATTCAATTTTCCAAATTGAAAGATAGATTTCTATTATTTTTTTATCAATTAAGAAAAAATGAAATAGACTTTAGATTTTTCAAAATTTTAAAGAAAAAAATAGTTTTTTTTTAATTTGTGAATAACTTTATCATGTAAGAAGTTTAATGTTTTAGGTCAATTTTTTGGATACAAATAATCATTTATTTTGATGATTTTTTATATAGATTTTTTTTAATTTGTAAATAACTTTATCATGTAAAAAGTTTAATGTTTTAGGTCAATTTTTTGGATACAAATAATCATTTATTTTGATGATTTTTAAATTGATTTAAAGATCATTAAGCCTGCATGTGCGGGAAAAACATCTAGTTAGAAATATTTAAAGAAAAATAAAAGCATTCGTATTTTTAAGAAACAAATATGTTAAAATTTGTAGGAATTTTTCTTCACCATAAGAAAATGTACAGCAATTAAACATAAAGTTATTAATTTTTCCAATTAAACACATTAATTAAATAAAATTCACAATAAATAAAAAGAAACTGTAGGAAAGTTTTTTCTTTTTTTGGTGCAGATGTTAAGAAAAATTGTACGGAAGTTGAGAAAAAGAGAATTCTCGTAAGAAGCCTGATTTGACAATAATATATAAACTCATGCATGAAGTTGTGGGATGGTCACTGTTTTTTTCTGTAAATTTGGGAGAAAGTCGCATGATATCCTAAATCATCACAATTCAATAGAAGAACCGAGAACGTATAAACTTACTCAAGAGCATAAAAACTCTTCTTTCAACTAACCTTGACATTAGGACGGTTCAATATGGTAATACCGAACCGTACCGAACCAAATCGAAATAGACAATATGGTTTGGATTTGGTATATACCATATAAACCGAATGGATATGATTTTATAAAAACTGTAGGATTTAGATATGATTAGGTTTATAACCGATTAAACCGATTAAACCGAATAAACCGAATAAAACCGATCAAAGAAAAATATATATAAATATATATACATTATATAACCATTTATTTTCTTGGAATAGTTTTTTTTTTTACTTTTTTATTCCTTATGAAGATATATCTTAATAATTTTATTTTATTTTCTTCAGTTATTATCTAAATTTGATTTGATTTTGCATGTTGTAAGAAATTGTGAAATTAGATTGTACCATGTAATTTATTTGGAAGAACAAAGAGAAAATAAGAAAAGTTGTACAAAACTGAATCGTTGGTCGTTTTGTTTGTTGTTAATTTCACATTTTTATATTTATGAACACTAGGATTATTTTAATAAATGATAGTTTTGATAATATGTTTTTTTAAATCCATATAATATGAAACAAAATCAAATAATAATGTTATTTGGTATAAAACCGAATAAATCAAAAACCGGTAGTATAAATACCGAACCAAATCAAATTAAATATGGTTCCAATATGGTAGCTAATTTTTATAAACCGAATAACCGAAAACCGAAAAAACCAAATCAAAACCGGACCGAACACCAGATTGAACATGCCTACTTGACATCTTTATATAGTTAACACAATGATTTAGCGAACAAACCCATAGAAAAATATAAATAAAAAGTAATCAAATATCGTTGATGGTTAAAGAAACGGTGAGGCTATTTATATAATTTTTGCAGGTGAATTGATATAGTAGACATGGAAACAATTATGAAGATACTAACTTAGTTATGTATAAACCGTTTGTTCTCGGTTAGTTTTATACATATACAAAACTGAATTAAAATTTTAAATGACATATGTAACTCACAGAATTGTAATTTGCTTTCTGTTTAAATTCTAATAATTCATAAGCAATAACCCTTTCTTCCAAGACTCTGTATATTTATTACTTTCTTTGTTTCAAAATGTTTAAATGTTTTAACATTTTCATACTTATTAATAAAATTTGTTAAGTTTAAGTTAGCAATTACATTATTTTGTAATTAACTTTTCCATATAATTTTTAACCAATAAATTTTAAAAAAATATAATTATGTTTTTTCGAAATTTACAATTTACCATTAGTAAATGCATTGAAAATGAATATATATATATATATATATATATACATATATATCTCTTTTTGAAATCAAATATTTTTCTAGAACATGGATCTATTTAAAACAGATGGAGTATGATTTAATACTACTTCTTATGTTTCATTAAGTTACATATTCTAGAAAAAATGGTTTCAAAAATATTCAGTTTTTATATTTTCAAGCATGTTTTATCAAATAATAATGATTGATTACAGATTTCAAAAAACTTAATTATACTTGTTGGATTTTTATTGGTTTAAAATTATGAAAAAAAAACACAATCACAAAAATTATACATTTATTAAATGTTTTATTAATATGTGTGAAAAATGTAGAATATATTGAAACAGAGTGAGTATGTCATAAAATATATTGACAGTCAGTTGTTTGCTATGGTATTTAATATTTATTACCCTCTTATTAATGCAGTTTGAGCTATTTATATTCGTGACTGTGAATTGAATTTTTAGATTATGGACTTGTTAGTTTTGAAAGGTTAAACCATTTAAAAACAGTTATTTTCAAATTAAACAAAAATATTTTTCGAATGCTTATTTTTTTCCACATTGACTATAAATATGTAACTTTACTATTCCACCGGTCTGAGGAATAAAAAAACATATTGTTGTTTAATTTTCCTTTTTGTTGGAAAAAAATGAAAGGATTGGAAAAAAATAGTATTTTTTTGAACAACGACAAAAAAAACTAGTATCTTGGTTTCTTCTTTTATTTGGCAACCCTTTTTGACGAACCTTCCTTGGACAACACTTTCTCAAACAAAACAAAACATCAGCTTTGCTATAATTCAGACAGCATCTCCTGTGAGACCATAAACAGTACCAATTCAGATTTTTCGTTCGTTTTAGTCAAACAGATATTTGGTATAATAGTCACATTAATAGAGATTTAAACTCTAATAATCATGTAGAATTTTCCACCCTGATCTCATATTCTCATATAAATCAAACTCTCAAAAAAAAGTTTCAAAGAATGCTTATACTTCTTTTAAAAAGAGAGAATTAGGTAATATTCCTCCGTTTCAAAAAAATTAACATTTTAGAAAAAATATTTGTTTAAAAATGATAAATTGTAGATTCTAAAATACAAAATTGTATTTTTTAAAGTTCGATTGGTTAGAAAATATAAGAAATTGTTATCTACAAAAAATGATGCATTAATAATCAAAATTTTATATTTTTTCTTAATTTATGTATTAAAAGCTAAAACATTCAACTTTTTTAAACAGAAAGAATATATACAACAAATATTAAATTACGTCCAGCCAACATCAACTCTCCACAGCTTGTTTTATGATTTTGTTGATTTCTTAGCATATGGAGTTTATCTAAATTATCATGACGATTTAAATATAGATAGTACTACTATAGTAGCTATATTTGTTTAAGCAATCATTAAAATCAAAAAGCTGTTAAATAATGCAAATTTTAAAAGTACAGATTTCCCAATCAGGAGACCATTCGTCGAAGAAATTAATCATAAGACTAGTACAATTAAAACAACAACCATCATTAGCCTGCCCTCTTAGTCTTAATGGGAAGTGGGAACATTGAAAATTGGAGAGATTAAAAATGTAGTAAAATGCTTTTTAGGAATAAAATAAACAGATAAAAAAATGAAGTAAATATGCGTCAAAGAGAAGTCAACGAGCATTAAGTCTTCGTCTTCTTCTTATTCATAGTAGTGAGCTACACGACGTCTCGAGTGTTCGTCATAGTTCTAATCTCTTTGAAGTCTTTTACTTCCTAGATTTGATCTCTAATCAGACATGAACAGAGGTAGCTTGTGTCCTAATCCCATCTCCCTCCCTCCTCCTGAGCAATCCATCTCCAAATTCCTGTAACTCTCTCTCTCTCTTCTCTCTTTATGGTCTACTTTGTTTATTCCCCAGATCATGATACGAATCTAGATTTCTGTTTAGGATCTGACGAATTAGAGCTCACTTTTAGAATTCGTTTTCATTACCAAAAGTGATTCTGTTATTGTGTAAATTTTTTGGACTGATGTTTTAATATAATGAGTCTTCTAACATTGTTAAGATTGGTTTAGAACACAGAGTGGAACGTTCAAGGATGGAGACCTTCAAGTGAACAAAGATGGAATCCAGACAGTATCTCAGTCTGAGCCTGGAGCTGTAAGCTGAGATCTCACTCTCTCTCTCTCTCTCTTGCATTGTCATGGACCAAAAAAATTGGATATTTTTTCTGTTTTTTTTTTTTTTTGTTGCAGCCACCTCCTGTTGAGCCATTAGACAACCAGTTGAGTTTAGCGGATCTAGAAGTGATCAAAGTCATTGGCAAAGGAAGCAGTGGTAGTGTTCAGTTGGTTAAACACAAACTAACTCAACAGTTTTTCGCACTTAAGGTAGAGTTCTGTTTTTTCTAGTGTTCTTCTTTCTTCTCTTGTCTGAACATTATATTTATATTCAGGTTATTCAGTTAAACACAGAAGAATCGACATGCAAGGCAATTTCTCAAGAGCTGAGGATAAACTTGGCCTCGCAATGTCCATATCTAGTCTCATGTTATCAATCTTTCTACCATAACGGTCTCGTTTCAATCATCTTGGAGTTCATGGACGGAGGATCTCTTTTGGATTTGTTGAAGAAAGTCGAGAGAGTTCCTGAAAACATGCTCGCTGCCATCTGCAAGCGAGTACTCTACGCAAAAACTTTATTCTATTTCTATCTGCTCTTGGATAACACATAACTAAGCTCTTTCCTATGCAGGTACTCCGAGGGTTGTGCTATATTCACGATGAGAGAAGAATCATTCATAGGGACTTGAAGCCTTCCAACTTGCTAATCAATCATAGAGGTGAAGTCAAGATCACAGACTTTGGTGTCAGCAAGATCTTGTCTAGCACAAGCAGTCTAGCTAATACTTTTGTGGGCACACACTACTATATGTCGGTGAGTATTCTCCTCTATTCACCTCTCTAACACTCACCAAACATGCATGAAACCAATGTTCAAGAAACGATATGCAGTATCGGATTATCTATTCGACATATTATTCCAAAGCCTATGCATTAACGAATTATTAATTAAATTTTATATATTTTACATTTATATTAGATATTTTATTTTTTGGCTTACTTATAAAATTGTTTTCGATGAATAATGAAATTAGATATAAAAAAACAAATTTGTAGATTTGCACTTATATTATTATTTGATTGAACAAAATTAGACCAGACCTCTTTAGATCAATTAAAACTAATTTTAATCGATTTAAAATAATTTAAACTGATTGAATTCGTATAAATCGGATTTCAAGAACTTCTTTTGACCGACTTGCCGCCTAAACCAATTTTATAACACATTGCATGAAACAGAGTTAAAAAAGGTTTTGTAACAAAAAGAGTATGAATTACCAGTAATTTTCATATGTTTGTCAGCCAGAGAGAATCACTGGAAAACTATATGGGAACAAGAGTGATATATGGAGCTTGGGACTGGTTCTGCTCGAATGTGCAACGGGTAAGTTTCCGTATACTCCTCCTGAACACATGAAGGGATGGACTAGCGTCTATGAGCTAGTTGACGCTATTGTTGAAAACCCGCCTCCTCGTGCACCTTCCCACCTCTTTTCTCCAGAGTTTTGCTCCTTCATCTCGCAATGGTGAGACAGATTTTTAAATGTTAATTTTCTGTAACGACTAGGCTTTTGAAATGATACTTTTGTAACTTGTGTAGTGTACAAAAAGATCCAAGAGACAGAAAATCAGCAAAGGAGCTTTTGGTGAGTAATCAAATCATACAAGAGTCTCTTTGTCATCTTTGTTCATGTAAACCACTCTTAACAATTTTATATTTTTCTTGCAATTCATAGGAACACAAGTTCGTGAACATGTTTGAAGATTCGAATGTGAATCTTTCGTCTTATTTCACCGCCGCAGGATCTTTGATTCCTCCACTTGCTAACAGCTAGAACCGAGTTTGAACAGTCCTTTTACCAAGTTATATATATTTTATATCCAAATATTTACAAGATGTTGTGACTTATGAGAGAATTGTTTTGATAGACATCAAAGTATATTTATATTTTCATATGCAAAGAATTGAAAATTATTTGGATAAACAATAATTTATATTGTAAAGTTTGTAACCATATTACAATTTGTCCGGGAAGAAAAATACAAGGGGCTTTTAGGATGTTAAGAAGAAGAGCTTAAACACTTTAAGCTACACTATATCATATGATTATAGATTTATAACATGTTAGTTAAATAAATAAAAAGAAACACAAATTATAATTTGATAAAAAGTAAGAAAAAGGAACCCTCTGTCTCAATTCAAGGGTTTGCTCTTGAATTTCCTCTGAGGCTTCAAATCAACAACCACCACAGTGATATTGTCTTTGCTTCCTCTCTGTAACGCCAGTTTTGACAAGTACTCAGCTGCCGACATAGCCGCGGGGTCTTTCCCTTCTCCTCTCCTCTCATCCGTGAGCAACGACGCATCTCCAGCCACCGCGTTCTTCTTGTGCCACAAGAGAATCCGCTTCCGCGCCATCTCACACGCTTCCTCATCCGTCATTACATCCCAAACACCGTCACTCGCTAGTATCAGACAGTCATCTTCTTTAACTCTCCTCACAGCTGTTACTTCCGGATCAGGAATGATCGACGGTTTCAAGTATCTATCGCCTGTCACATAACATATGTTTTGTAAGAAACAATGTTTTTTTTTTAAAGTACCATTGAATCTTTAGCTAATAGAAGAAGAAAGAAAGCTTACCAATGGATCTTGACATGGCGAGTACACCAAAGACACGAGCTCCGTTCCACCTGATCACTTTCCCTCCGGCTGCTTCAATCCTGGCCGCTTCATCTTCTCTATCCGGCTAGACACATATACACACATACATTAGAATTGGATTCATAAACCTGTCAATTAAACATCTTGAGAACAAACTGTGGTTTCAAACGGTAACTGAATAAATTGCACCACGCTTAACCGTAACAAACATATACATATTTATAGGACCGGTCCTGAGAATTAAGAGTTATAAATCGATTTTTTAACGATTTCACCTAAATATTTATTTTCTTAATGGATTTTGGTTTTAAATTTTTTTTTTTTTTCTTGGATCTATGTACATATAATATTCTTCAAAGAAAATTGGGACTCAAGACCGATGTTTCATCCTCTTGGCCAGAACCAACCCTCCATATATATATATATATATATCTATATATTTTTGTTATATCAAAACCGCATGACCAATCTAACTATAGATCCATACTGTTTTGTCAGTACATAGCTAGCTATATGAGTGTGTATATGCTTACTTTGTGGTCAGTGGACAAAGGAAGAGCAGTTTTGCCACGGCAGAGAACGGCTCTAGAATCACCACAACTCGCCACGAAGATATGAGTCGGGAAGACAACAGCGACCACCGACGTTGACCCAACAGTCTCCGGGGCCACTGACTCTATCTCCGAGTCAACGCGAATAAACGAGTTGAACAAAGCGCTCTTCCACTTCTCCTGCCACGTGTCACCATCGCATAGCATCGGATTCTCCTTGGCAATCTCCTCCGCTAAAGCCAAATGCATCCTCTCTCTACAATAGTCCGCAACCTACACAAACACAACAACCCAAACTAGTTGACTTTTCAACGCAATCATCGGATCTTGTCGGAAATTTTGGCAAAGACCGTTGACTTTTATTTTTTTACCTGAGAACCGCCGTGACCGTCGTAGACACCGAAAAAGTGAGCAGTTGATTGAGGATTAAAACGACCGTCTATCATCGAATTGGTCGGAGATTGGAGGAATCTTGGTATCGTGGAGACAGCATCTTCCATCTCCGGTCTTCTTCCGCAGATCGAAGTCACACCGTACAAAGGCACACTCTTGAACTCGAACAGACTCCTGCTCTCTGTTCTGCTTATCATCTTCTTCTTCTCGCTCGATCCCTCGTCCGAGCCGTTGATCTCTTCTCCAACGACTATGTCTGAGCCAGAAACAGAACACGAAGTCTCCGACAAGGAATTTTCGTTGCTGTCGGAACCTTGAGTTGAGTATTGGCCGTTGCGGTAGCCTTTACCCAACATGATCCCTGCGAGCTCCATCTGAGTTTCGGGGAATGGCATGAAGGGCATAGCAACCGCAGGAGATACTTCCTCCATTGATGGAATCCTAAAAGCTGCTTTGAGCTTTTTTTTTTTTATGTAATGGAACAAAAGTGAAAAGTCGACAGATTATTACAGGAGATTTTGAATAGAGAACAACTTTATTAGAAGCTATGTAGACAAGAAACCCATGACTCCTCACCAAGAAAGAAAAAAAAGTAAAGTTTTAGCTACCGCAGGAAACAGATGATTCACCAATTTTCCCGGGAAAATCAACCACACAGCAAAAGAGAAAGAAAAAAAAAAGATGGATGAATTGAATTTTAAACAGGGTTTCCTAGATTGTGGGTAATTCGTTACCACCTCTTAATGGTTCTGTGCAAATATCTCTCTCTTTATCTCGACAATTAAGTCCTACTACCTAAAAGTTGAAAGAAGACTCTGTTCTTTTCTTCTTCTAAATCTTCATTGCCTTTTTCTTCTACACAAATATAAAGAGGGGAATAGGATGTAGGTATGCAAAGACAACAATCTGCTATTTATGTTAACCTAAATAGATGTATTTATCTATATTTTATTATATTATATTAAGTCATGTTCTATTATTTGTTTATTTATTTTAGTTTTTTGTAATAAGGGGAGATGTTTCGTTCTTGAAATTTTAAAGTCATAAAAGGACACTTTTTGTGATCAGAAAATTGTACGTTTTTCATTGGTTGTTTTTTCGGCCACTCTTGAATCAATATTCTAAAACAAAAGTTCCTGACTATGTTATTTATCAAACAATTTATTATTCTATTACGAACTTTTAGGATAAGTATTACTACTACAAAAACAAAAAACAAATTAACTCCACAGATATCTTTCTAACAGTATTCACTTATATTACTAGTTTCCAACTGAATGAATAGTTTATTTGCATTATGTTATTAACATGTTTATAAACCATCAATTTTATAAAAATTACTACATGCAATTTTACTGATTCTCATATATTCATTCTATTTTTATTAATTGTCATTTTGGTTTTTTTTGCATATAGATTAAAAAGTTAATTATTTTTATATATTTTATATAAAAATATAATCATTTATATACTTAACTATTTTTCAATCAATAGAAAAAATAAATTATGATACAAAATTAACAAATTTTGTATTAAAACTAAAAACGATATTTATTTTTTAATAAAAAAATGTACAACAACACTTAATATGAAACAGAAAGAATATTTAATAATTAACTTTTAATAATCATTGAATCAAGAGAATTTCACAACAAATTTTTTTAATCGTTAACTTTAGTTAGGCAATCGGTTTAACAAATTTTATTAGACGACTTTCCGTAATAGACGTACGTGTCACTTCTGATTTAAGTCTTGTAATTCACAATATATTATCTGTTACAAATACAGATTTAATCCAAAATACACGAAGTTTATTCGTAATTTCTAACATTTGGACTAAATAAACCAAACATCACATTCGTATATCATTTAGAACAAAACTTCTGTCTTTTTCAGTAAAAGAATAATATTTTATCCATAATATAACCAAGATAAGAAAAGAATTGGTGCTTCTTATATTCTGGAAAAATGAAAGACCGCCTGTAAAATATGTTAATAATTATAATTAAAGGAATTTTTAATTATATAATTTGTAAACCTTTTTTGGTGAAACTTCAAACTATAAGAATTGTTTGTATATATCTATCTGTTATATTTGTTAGCATAGGAACAAACCATATTCATAACCTATTTAATTGAATCTTTAATCCATACAATCATAGACTGGTTCTGCATAGGAACAAACCATATTCATAACCTATTTAATTGAATCTTTAATCCATACAATCATAGACTGGTTCTGCACAACAGAAGTTATTTGGTCCTTGTATATCAAAAAAGTATAATCGGTCTCGCAATTGTAAAAGATACGGTTAAAATTTACTTGCAAATGTTCCTTACGGAAAATAGTGACTGAAATTCATTAATACGATTCTGATTACTTTTTTTTTTCAGTTGGATACTAGTATTTTATTATTCAAATTTAAGGTGATTTTAATAACTATACCAGAATAAAATAATAAACAAAACAATTTTCTCTATTAAAAATTCGCATTCTTGGATAATGAGTCTGAAATTTCGTTTTGAATACTTAGAACATGATATATCTCGAATGATGGAAAATAGATGAACACTGTCTCGACTATCTCTAGTTCTGTTGCAAAACTCGGTCAATCTTCAGAATCCTTTATCACCGTGATCAAATCTTTGCAATTTGTTTTAAAACGTTGATATGACGAATGTTTAAGTATGTTCTTCATTGTCCATCGTAGTGCTTCGACTTCCGAGTACAACGCAGATTTTTTCCTTTTTATAGTTCGCATACCCATAACTGACGCTTCCTAAGATTATTTATCCACACCCAACCACATTCATTAAACGGAGTCGCGGAGGTCTATGAACCATCCACCATTCATATATTTTTTAGGTTTATGACATGAAGCTCGTTTCTATTTTACGTTGTCCTTTGTTTCTGTCCCTATGCCATTTATCGTTTCGAGCCTTCTAAATATATCGAATTATCCAGAGATAAGGTTCTCTGTCTAACTCTGGTTCAATAATATTGTTCGTCCTCCAAAAAAGATCCATATCGATGAAAATATTTCATTTCAGAAAACTGTTGAGACTAGAAGGTATTGTCGAATGTGCCCAAACTTGTAAAGTAAAAAGATACTCAAAAATGGTATACACAACTGTTCTCTGGTTTCTCCATATCATGGACAATAATTATCACATCGCATATTTTTGTGATTCATATTTTTCGTAATAGCCACATGACCAACTAATTACCACATGACCAGCTAACATGACCAGCTAACAATTACCACAAAAAATGACATTTCTTTGAATGTTTTTACTTTTCAGCAAAGACTTAGGCTTAATAATACTTAGCTCACTTATCTCTATTTTTTTTTATTCTTTGATAGGTTTCAAACAATCCAATATCTAGATTTAAGATTACCTTGATTACTCTTTGTTTGACCATAAAACTAAACTATTTGTATGGAACATATTTTTCGCAATAAATAAGAAAAATCATACAACAAAAGAAAATAAACGTGAATAATAATGGGTCCCATGTTTAGCGGTAAGCCGGTGGATGATCGACAGGTAGACGAAGAAAAAGTCTAATTTGGTGAACGAGAGAGTGTGACGTGTACGGTTCGAGATGTGAGAAAAAAGATTCATTGCACTGAGAAAGACAGCCCTTTAAATTCCGTAAATATCTTCTCTTTAAACTCTCTCTCTCTTATTTTTTTTTCTTGAATCTTAATATCTCAAATAAATAATATATTATCGGTTGTCAACAGAACGTTACTATAAAACATATTTATATCAAGTTCCATTTGTATTGTGCCACTTGTGCTGTATTTTTCTGGACAATGTGTATATGGAATGGAAGTGGAAATGTGAAACTAGGTTCTGGAAAATCACCCAAGACACCACAAAAAAATACACAAGACACCTCAAATTCAATGAACCAATATAATAATAAAAAGCTATACAACATAGATATTTTGGAAAATCAATAGTTTAACCACAAATGAAAAGGATATTTTGAGATCAATATGATATATACGAGGCTCTTATAGATCTTAAATAAATTGAGAAGATGGCTAAGAAAACGTGTATTGTAGTGGATGGATGTTTTAATTTATGTTTGCTTATTCTGATGTTGATACTTAATACTTTTATCCTTCCTTGCGGGAAATGCGTTTAAGGAACGAAGCAAGGAGGTTCAACTCGTAATTATATACCAGGTTACTTATATGTTTGTGATATTTTGAAAAATCTTATACAATAAAGTAGGTTTTTCTCTCTTCTTAGAAAACCACATCAGCATTTGTGAAGGAGGCAAAAAAAGATACGTCAGCAGTCATATACTTAAATTATACCGACCAAATTTGTTCAATCTTGTTTCGGTTTCATTTGGTTTATGTTTCTCGGTTTGATGTTTGGTGATGGGCTTGGTTTTGGGGTGTGATATAATGACAAATCATCTATAGAGTGTGGGGCATTTTCGGACACGTGGCGATCAATTATTCCCTTTCTCTTATGTTGGTTTGTGTTCGTGTTGGGATTCAATATTTATTGATAGAATGATTTTTATCTTTGATAAAAAAAAAAGAATGACTTTTACCTCTAAAAATTACCTCTTCACCTCTTCACCTTCTTCAGCTCCCGAAAGCTACGGATTTTGCTCCTCCGCCGCATATACCTACTGCGAAAGCTGAGACTGGCCGCAGAGACCAACAACTCTAGAAGCTGAGATGTGGTTCCCTCCATGTGCGTGGATTTCATAGCCAGTTATCTCAACGGAGACCATTACAGTGCCATCGCCGATTAGGCATCCACATTCACTAAAACGGTTCAAATTTCCAGCGACAGTAAGGACATGTTGATCTTCGACATCAATTAGAAGCTCCTCATGAATTTAGACTACTGGCTCATGGTTACGGGTACTCTCTCTCTCTCTTTCTCTATTATTGACTGTTAGATCTGATTCGTTATAACCGAAGTATCGATGATTCTTGATCATATATCAAACCTCAATCTGTTGAGATCCCATTTACTGATTAAGATAACTGGTTCTGTTGTAATTACATCTTTGTTTGATTAAATTATTTTTTTGGTTCATCATATATCAAACTTAAATCTGTTTGAATGGTCTTGACAGTGTCTGTTTGTCTTCAATGGAGTTGAGAGATGAGACGGTTGTGATGTTGAGACTGAGAGTAAGCAGTAAATGAATGATTTATATTCTTTCTGAGGAGAGTCATTTGGATTCAACCAAATATGAGAGCAGTTGACCTTCGGTGTCTTCAAGTGTGACAGTGGCAGATGGGATCAACATGATGCAATTAGTATACTGAGGTATGAACCCTTCAATTTCTGCTACTCTACTTATCACGTAGATTTTTTGTCATTTAGCAATCTTAATTTTTTTCATATTTTTATCACGAACAATTCATGAGAGGAAGGCATTGAGATTGAGTAAGTATCTCCTATTTTCTTCTCTATGTCATTGGTTTAGTATGATACACAAAAATAAAAACAAAATGAAATACCCTGTTGCTGTTGTAATTGAATCGGTTTTAGCATACCGATTGAATTATTTTCTGATGTATATAGGTCCGAACCGTCCGAGTCTAATAGATTTAATGTAAGTGGGTGGTAGAAGGAACAGCTCCAGCTTTTGAAGCGACCTGAGACTATAAAATGCTCTAAAAAAACTTGAGTTCACTATCATTCTACTAACCAGTCGGGAGGGCCAAAAAAGTGTCTACTGTTCCTTCATTTCTTTCGAAGCAAGTTTGTTTCTTGCTTATTTTAAACCTCTAAGCTTTGAAACACACGCTTTGTGTAATGGTTTTGGCAGGAACCAAACAAACGCTCATG